CAGCGGGGCTCCAGCAGCGTGCAGAGACCTGCCCGTATAGGAATAGTAACATGAACTCACCAGGATCCTGTATGTTCCTCAAGTATCTGCATGTGCCTCTGCCAAATCGGCTCTTAAGGATTCCTACCTCAGGTTACTTCTTCAGTAAAGCTAAATAATCCTCATCTTTGCAATGCAACAGGATGGATGGGAGAGGAAGGGCAAAAAAAAAAGCTACTCAAATTTAAGTTCGAAAAAAAAGCAGTATTTTTAGAAAATAAGCTCTACACTCAGAGCAGGAAAAAACTTGGCGAAAGTGTTATAAAAATTACTGGGAAGCAAAACTTAGACCAAAGTTTGCTTTATGCAGAATACATAGAAACCCAACTATTACATACATTTTATAAAAGCCATGAATAAGTAATGATCCCTTCAAAATCAAATAATGATGCAACATGGCACAAACCCAAAGCTGAGTCAAATAAGCACATGGTACTTTTCCTCAGGTTACTTCTTCAGTAAAGCTAAATAATCCTCATCTTTGCAATGCAACAGGACGGATGGGAGAGAAAGGGAAAAAAAAAGCTACTCAAATTTAAGTTCGAAAAAAAAGCAGTATTTTTAGAAAATAAGCTCTACACTCAGAGCAGGAAAAAACTTGGCGAAAGTGTTATAAAAATTACTGGGAAGCAAAACTTAGACCAAAGTTTGCTTTATGCAGAATACATAGAAACCCAACTATTACATACATTTTATAAAAGCCATGAATAAGTAATGATCCCTTCAAAATCAAATAATGATGCAACATGGCACAAACCCAAAGCTGAGTCAAATAAGCACATGGTACTTTTTATGTTTTATCATTACTAATTAATGTTTTCTTACAGGGTATTTTTCAAGATAGAGTTTCTCATGCCACAGAATAAATTCTGTTATTTGATGAATTTTGGAAAGATAGGGAATAAATGCTACCCAGGAAGAAAGCCAGGCTGCTCAGGGGACTCAACAGATTATTCAAAGATTTCTCTTCCTGAGGAGCTGAAACACCACAGTCCCATTACCACAGCACCCAGAACACACAGCATTTTTATTCACAACCTAGTAAAGTAACTTCTGCTCTCTCCTCAGAATCCCACAGGCAATTCCAGGCTAAATTCCTCTCCAATGCGTCCAGCATCCTTGTTAAACTAGATCCTTTCATCACAGGCTGATGAAGTAGAAACTTGAGGAACCCAGGGATGGGACAGCTTCACAAGGGATAACTCCAAGGCTGGGCTCTAAATTCCCATTTTCTCCCTTTCTAATGAAAGTCCACAAAACAAGTGCTATTTCCTCTAAGCAATGTAGAGTTTGCATTTCAAGTGATTACTTTTTAAATTAATGTACAACAAACAACTGCATTTTAGCCCCATACAATAATGGGATTGGAACCATTCTGAGGAACATAACTAGAATTTGGTTTTTTCAATCTCATAAAATCCAGCTGGCAAATAAACCAGAGACAAACGACCCAGTTCACTGGATCAAGTATTTCCAGGTGCAGCGAGCTCCAAACACTAATTTATCTCCTGTGAGTGCAACAGGAATGTGCTCTACTTTCAAGCTAAAATGAAGGTGCCATTCTGGGTTGGCTGGAGCTGATTTTCTTTGCAGTAGCTCACACAGGGCCGTGTTTTGGTTGAAGACTTGAACTACAAGAGTCAAAAACAACCAGCGGGCCCAGTTCTGTTCCCACTGATGACCATGGGAACCTCCCAAAGCCCTTACTGGCAACATCACCATGTCCTGTGTCACCACAGAGCTTCACGTGTCCTGTGGATGCTGGAAGAATTCCTAGAGGTGGACACACGTCGGAAACATAGCAGAAACAAAGCACAAGACAAAAAGAACGTGAAATCACTGATCAGGCTGACTGCGAGGGTTATAACCAAGGACACAACAAAGGCTGCAAGACTGGGAGCATTTGTGGAGTACTAAACATAACCCACTCCTTCCTGTACACCAAAGGTGCCGTTTTAAGCTTTGTGCAGCACTCCAGACACAAGGTCCCAACTGGCATCAACCATCCAGAGAGCTCCCAAAAGATAAACCCAGCCACTCTTATTTCCCACTCCTGCATCCTCCTCCTGTCACTCGCAGGCTCCACAGGTGAAGCTCAGTTTGTTGATCCAGCAAGGAAATGAGCTCCACAAAATAAATAGCTGCCATTCACACAACACTACAGGTGGGAGAACAGGATACTGATTCAGCACCATTCCTTAAAATCTGCCTAACCCCACCAACGAACAACACTCAAAGCCATTTGCTTGTCTGGATGTCAAAGGAAATTACCTTGTCAAAGGAAATAACCATTGTGCTCCGAAGAAAATTCATCCTCAAAAGTTGAAACAATCAGTGTTTACACATCAAAGAGACAAGGAACAAGGATTTTGCTTTTGAAAAAATTTCAAAGAAAAATATTTTTTTTTTAATAGCGCAAAATATGGGATTACAGGTGTTACCAGGCTCTCAGCTGATCTCATGTTTAACCACCTCTAGAAAAGGCAAACCTTGATAAAACATAAGAAAGGATATAATCCTTCTGTTTCTAATGAGAAAAGCCATGCACAAATTTGGGAGAGTCATAGGTCCATTTTTTTGTTTTTAATGTACCAAGGGGTTGTTCTAGTTTCTGGCTTCCCTCTTACTGTTTTTCTTTTGCAGTCTAACAGAAAAGTAAGATATACTACTATGAATTTTAACAAGCATCCTGAAATTAAACAAAATACAAGACCATAAACTAATGAATACACAGTATAAATAACTTAAATGTGTCACAAGCAGGCCTGGCATCCAAGTGTTCTTCTGGAATTATATATAAACTCACACCTGCAAAACTCAAGAGTAAAGAGTGCATAATGCTGTGTGTGATACATATTTGGGCCCTAAACCATTTGCATTTATGGTCATTAATATTAATAAGTGAGAATTTGCAAACAGGAAGTTAGGGATGCTTGTCTGTAATGTATTAAAAAATTCATCTTGCAAAAATTCCCGGCACATAACAGGTATGCTCATGGATTTCTCAACATTAACATATATATCACTGGTATTTCTAAAGGTTTAGCTGAAAGTAAACCTAGTGTATGCAACCTGAAACTTAAAACAACCCAGAAGCTCTAACAGGATCACGGGAAAACCAATGGAAAAAACAGAAAGATGAGAACAAGAGAGGAATTGCTACAAGGCAATCAATACTGATAAGGAGTTTATTTTATAAAATTGTTAGTCATCCAGTTACTCTGAATATGTAACCAGTAATTCACACAGTAATTACAAGGCTACATTGCAGGCCAGTATGCTCCAATATTCTACGGCTACAGCAGAGATGCAGACAGGATATGACCCTGCCACTCCAACAAAATTGGGGTAAATTTGGAATACACAGTCTTTCACTGTGTAGGATGCCCTTAGGATGAGTCACTACAGAAAAGAAGCACAACTCTAAGTAGTTTGTTTATTTTCTTAAAAGCCCAAGAGTCATAAAAGCCACAGACCTCAAACTGGCTAAGATAGCCTTTGCCTAAGCATTACTGCTCTCTTTCCACCAACAGTTTGCTTGCAGAGTCAAAAAATGAGATTATGGTTATGGTAAATGGCAATATATTGTATTTTTTTCATTCAACCACAGGTCTATCATGCATTTCGTAGGTAAACATTCCTCCACACCAACTGCCCATAATCTAAGGTATCTCTCACCACACAGTAAAAAGCCTCATGTGACTGTACCCAGCAATTCCCTTCCAAACATTCTCACCAAAAGGCACTTATTACACCACCTCCTTTTTCCTTTTTAATTCACACCTTAGGAATGGATGTTAATGGAAATTAAGTTCTGAAGATTAAATAAGGAAAACAAACAACACCCAACCTTTAGCATTCTGCAGGAATCATTCCACACTCCAGCCTGAGCAATGCTGCTGTGGCAGGGTCTCCTGGCCATGTTGTTGCTCTCCACAGCACGCTTTTGCAGCATTTCTTCCTCTCCTCCCAATCCAACACTGATTTGCCTTCGCTCCTACACCGTAGCTATGTTGCACTCCCCAGCAGCGCTAATTAGCCTCCGTAATTTATTTAAGTTTTCCCAGCTATTTCATTGTCCTTGCACTATTTCCACCTTGATAAAAGCCTAAAACCCACACTGTTCCATCACTGCCTAAACCCAGCTCACCGACACCAGCTCCGGAACTTCCCAACACAACCGCGGATGAGAATCTGCTTTTTTCTTCCAAAACACCCATCCGAGCGCCGTCTGCCTCATCATCTCTCACTGCTTTTTTTGCATTTTTAGCCCCCACCAACCAACCCACGCCTGTAACGGAGAGCTCCAGCGTGTGTCATTAGCCTCCTCACGCCTTACTCACCCCTCGGAGGGCGCGGAGGGGAGGGGGTTTAACCCCGCCGGTGCCCGCAGCGGCGGGGCCGAGGGCGGTGCGCGCCCGCATCACGCGCGCGGTACCTGCGGCACCTCCCGCTCCACACGGCGCGAGAGAGAAAACGGCCTCCCCTCAGCCTCCGCCGGGCCCGAGGGGATGGATCGGCGTTCCGCAGGGCGGAACGAGCACCGATCGCTGGCCCCCGCACGCCGCTTTCCTTTCCAGGCGAGGCTGTCGGTTTCTTTGCCAACAAAACGGTCAATTTCTCATTGAAGAAATAGAATTTTGGGGGGCTCGCCGCTCGCGCCGACCCCGCCTTTCCCGGCGCTCGCCGCCGCCGCATCCCAATCGAATCAGCGAGGCACCGACAGCGCCGGCTTCCCGTGCCCGGGAATCGCGGGGAGGAACCCCCACCCCAGCCCTGTTGTCGCGGTCCCCTCGGCCCCGTCCCCCGCCCGCGGGAGGGGCGTGGCGGGGACCGCGATCTCCCCCCCCTCACCGACACACCGCCGGGCGTTGGCCCCTCACGGTGTGTCCCCGCCGCGTCCCACCCTCATCTGTGGCCGCGGGGGTTCACTCGCACCCCGGCGCTCTGCCGGTCCTTACCTGGCGCGGGAGGCTCCCGGCGGCCCCGCACAGAGCGCGGCTGCGCCTCCCTCTCACCGCATCGCCGGGAGCCGCCGCCGCCGCCGCGGCGAGCGCGCGCCCGAATGGGAGGGGACGGGGGGCGGCCGGTCTCGCCCCTCCTCGGCGGCTCCTTCACCGCCCGCTACAGCGCCCCCTCCGCCCGTCCGTCCGTCCCTGCCCGCCGCGGCCTCCCCGGCGAGCCGCCGCTCCTCCCCTGCCGCTTTCCTTCTTCCCCGGTTCCTTCGCTCGGTCGCTGCGAGCTCGCCGCCGCCGCCGCCTCACGGGAGCCCGCGGAGGGCGGGGAAGGGAAGCGGCGCGCGGGCGCGCGCGCTCCCGGGGCTCCCTTTACCCGCCGCCCCCCATGAGCGCACGGAGGGGCGCGGCCAAGCGCGGATCCGTGACGAGGGCACGGTTATACAAAACAGGCGCGCCTGTGGAGCGCAGCGCTGCTGTGGGATCCGCGCTGCGCGGATTGCCTTTCCTGCCTCTCCTTCCTCTCCCCACCCCTTCCTCTCCGGCCGTACCTGGCGCGGCTGCGGAAGGCGGCGGGGGATGCGCCTGGCTGACACCCTGCCGCCTGTGCTCAGCCCCGGCCGGGAGCGGGGGAGCAGCGCCCGCGCCTGGCGAGCCACGGGAACTCTGAGGGCGGGCGGGATCCGCCGGGGAGCGGGGAACGCGGAGGCCGTGGCCGTGGCCGTGAGCACCGGGACGAGCCCGAGCCGTGTCCGCTCGCAGGCCGATCGTACCCTGCGTTGCCTCCCCACCCGCTGTGGGCCGCAGGTCCAGGGTCTCTCTGCCCCGCTCAGGTGAGAACCCCACCTGCAGAGCCGCCTCCAGCCCTGGGGTCCCAGGAAGGACATGGACTTGTTGGAGGGAGTCCAGAGATGATGATTAGAAGGGTGGAGCAGCTCTGCTCCGAGGAAAGGCTGAGAGAATTGGGGTTGTCCAGCCTGGGTGACCGAATTGCTCCTTCCACTATCTGAAGGCAGCCTACCAGAAAGATATGTACAAGGCCATATCTTGTAATAGATATTTACAAGGGCCTGGAGTGACAGGACAAGGGGGAATGGCTTCCAAACTGGATGGTCTCCATGGTCCTGTCCAGCCCAAACTGTTGTGGTGCGCCAGTTTAGATGTTCTCTTGCACTGGGTGATTGGGAATTTACACAGAATAGTTTTGCATTGCACTGTATAGCTTATGTTATATCATGTGGTTTGTTACCCCGTTTCCCTATCACACGGTCTTTCCCTCACCTGTTTCTTCACCAAAGCCCTGTATGATTCTGTGAGCTGCAGGGAGGGAGCAGCAAACGCTTTCCAGGGCAGCTCCGTGGGCCAGGAACAGGTCTGTGGCAGCTCCAGGCTCTGTCAGGACCTGCGCAGGACCAAGGCACCAAAGGCACCTCTGAGGGTTGAACCTGTTCCTGCAGGTACTGCTCGGCCAGGGCTGCCGGAGGGATTTTTGGGCACGTCATGATGTGATGGAACACGGTGACCCCAGTGCCTGTGTGCTCCTCCAGGTACCTCTGCGTGTGTGGCAGCACCCTCACTGACTTCCACTGGTTCTTCTCAACAAATGGGACTTCTGGGAATAATACCAGAAACTGAAATGTTTTACTGATCATCACATACAATTGAAGACCAGAGGTACAAGGAGCACACAGGAAATGCTGTATTACCTGTTAAAGCTAATATAAACATTTATTTAAATTACCTAAATGGTGTAAGGTAGCCACTGAAAGCAGCAATCCATTCAGCATCTTGGCATTGCTTAATTGCTCATGTGAATGAAATGTAACTGACAGAAATTTGGGGTTCTCGTCAAACTGAAAAACATTATTTTTGCTCATTAAAAATATATTCTAAACAGAAAAACATCATTTTTGCTCAATAAAAATATATTCTAAACAGAATATTGGGTTTTCACTGGCTAATTCTCTTTAAGAAAACTAATATTTATGTCTTAAGTCAACAAAATAATCTTTTTAGTCCAGTACAAAATGTTCCCTTTAATTAAATTATCTCCACTCCCTTGGGATGGATGCCTCATTAAACCTCCTGGGTGCAGATTGCTTGCCTCCATCTCACCCTGGAATGGTTAAGAGCTTTACATCACATCTGCCCACAGTGCCAAATTAATCACCAAATAAATGAAGCAACAGGGTAATCTTCAGTTGTGACTCAAGAAAATTACTTGTACAAAAAATAAACTGCAATAGAAAGAATCCTACCTAGGAGGTGTTAATGAAACACAGAGAGCGCTTTGGTTTGGGTTTTGTGCATATTTGTAGCAGAAATGATGAAGAAGATGCCAAGTTTCTGGAATGAAGCTGGGATCAGAGTGAATGCAGACTTGTCATCCACATTATCTGTCAGTGCAGTCGCTGGGTTTTTGCCTTCACAGAGGAGCAGCATCACAGGAAACAGTGCAACAAGCGCTTAAACAACAAACTACAGCAGGGAAATCTTCCAGGAATGTTTTCCTCTAAATCTATACCCTCCTTGATCCCTATGGGAATAGTATTGCTTTCCTCAGCATCCCATCCTCGTTGCTGTTGAGGTCCACAGAAGACAGTAAGTGACAGGAACTGGTGACAGTGGGGCTGTGTGCCTTGTGCCACTCCAGAGCCTTTTGTGGTGCTTCTTTCCTGGGAGAGGGTGATATGACAGACCAAACCACTCTGTACACCAACAGGGACTGCCTGGCACTCTAGGAGGAGTTCAAGCCAGAATAATTCAGACCACCAATGGAACCTTTCAGCTCATGCCTAGAGCTTTGCCATACCATTTTTTTTTTAAATCATGAATATCTGTTGTGTAACAGCAGTTACTTTGCAGCTAATTTTTTTTTTAAGGTAAATCATATTTGAACAGAATCAAAAATAAGCAGGAGCTAAAATATCTGCAGTGCTGGGGCTGTGCCAAACACCCACAGATTCTGTACCCTGTACTCAAGCCTTGTCAAGTAGCTCAGCACATCTTTATTCTAATCATTTACTTTCATTTTATGCCTAACAGAGAATTGTCCTGATTACTCGAGCAAGGCACAGCAAGAAAAGCACAGAAAACATTTGGTCAGCTTTGGGTCCTTGGTGCTCCTGGCATAGCTTGAGCCTCCACAGTCCCTCGCCGTGAAAGATTTTGGAGTATGTGCAGTGATCACGTAGCTCTTGACTAGATTTCCACTAAATCTTTTCAATAAGTGCAGATCACTCTAAGCAGAGAGGCAGCAAGAGCTGCTGGAGGTTACAGAGTGACTTGAGCAGCTGAAAAAGTCCAGAGCTTCATAATTCTTTGGGCAATGCAATTCCAGCCAGGAATTTATTGTCACACTCCTGACCACGGACATCCTGGTAGGGCAGGGGATGGACTGAACAAGCCCTTTGCACTTAGACAGCTCTGCATCTCTTAGGTTAGCTAATAAAATCACAGAGTCAGGGGATCATTAAGGTTGGAAAAGACCCCTTAGATCATTTGGTGATCCTGGAGGTCTGTTCCAACTTTAATGGTTCTGGATCATGGAGTCCAACTGTCAGCCCAGCACCACTGAGCCACATCCTCTAGTCCCACATCCACATGGTTTTGAGCACTCCCAGAGATGTGAGTCCACTACTCTTCTGGATCATGGAGTCCAGCTGTCAGCCCAGCACCACTGAACCACATCCTCTAGTCCCACATGGTTTTGAGCACTCCCAGAGATGTGAGTCCACTACTCTTCTGGGAAACCTGTAGCTTTCTGTGAAAATATTTTCCCTAATAACTAATCTAAATGTCCCCTGACACAACTTGAGGCGGTTACCTCTCATCCTGTCAAAGGCACTTTTCCACGTGATAAAGGTGAGCATTGTAGAACACATCTCACACACAGAGAGAGGTGCAGAGCGAGATGGACAGGCTGAGCCCCAGGGACCTAATGAGGGGAACAGGGTCCCCAGCTCCTCTTGCCAGTGCACTGGACGCAGCTGGGAAAGGAGCTGCAGCAGCCTCAGCTGTTGAGTGAAGATATTTGGCAACCCCAGCACCATCCTCTGCAGACAAGTCCGTGCAGCCTTCTGCTCATGTGGCAGTTCCCTGGCATGGCCAGCATCACCATGGGAACGTTTCTGAAGTCATCAGAAAGAGTTCAAAAAAATCTCTGTTCTAGTGAGAACGGGCGCAGTTACGGAATCCTGGAATGGTTTGGGGTTGTTGTACTCGCTTTTACCGGGGGTGGAGATCATTCTCACTCCAGCACCCAGGCTCTGGGAGAGGAGCTGCCCCGGCTGTCCTTGCCAGCACTCTCGATTAGCATGCACAGGGAATGCTGATTGTACCAAACCAAAGAATTCCATGATAACATGCCCAGCTCAAAGGCAGAGTCTGGAACGAGGGGGAAAGGCAAGAGGAAGGCAAAACCAAACAGGAAATGTATGAACTCCTGCTGTTAGGGAAAGGTGGAGAGGACTTTGTGCTGCAGAGCAGCAGGTGTAGGGCCCAGGGCACTACAAATGGCACCCTGAGCTGGTCAGGATGAGTCCTTACATCAGGGACCCAGGAGCACAACCCTCTGGAGAGTTATTACCCTGCTGTGGGTCTCTATGCCACTTCTTGAACTGTCCTACCCCCAGACACTCATTTTCACAGAAGTGCCTCACCTTCTAATACTCAGTTAATGATTGACTTTTTAAAGTATTCCTCAGGTCACAATAATAATAAACCTGCCAAATAATGTGACCTGAGAGGCAAAAGTAACCTTGTCCTCCATCTTTCAGAGATAGAACTTCAGGGCTTGTGCCCTGGAAAAGTTTGGGTGCAGAAGATTAAAAGTTAAATCAAAGTTAGAACAATTAACTTGAAGGAAAAAAAATTACAAATTCCAATCATTCAAGCACTCAAGGTGATCCTGAAAGGAAGCAGCCTGAAATGTAAGCACTATTTGAGCAGGAACTAGAAAATTCCTGTTGGGAATAGGCTACGATTTCAGTGTATTGTGGTGGAGCAATATGTCTGCTACACAGGGGTAATACACAGAGACTCCTGGTGAGATTATTTGATCAAGGCTGGATTTCTTAGAATAGGAAAAATAAGTAAATGTGAAAAACATCTCAGATTAAAAAAAAAAAAAAAAAAAAAAAAAAAAAAAAAAACAAAAAAAAAACCACCACACCAAAAACAAACAAACAAAACAAACCTCATCTGAAAAACAGTCATTTGCTGAAGCAGAAGGATGATTTTCCTGGGACAGAGATTGCATTCACCAAGGTGAGGCACCCGGTAAAGACACCCCCGTGTGACCTGCTCCTCTCCTCACCGTGTGCCCCCAGCTGTGCTGCCCATGCTCAAACTGCCTCTTTTATATTCCCTTTTAATACAGGAAAAGTCCATAACCTGACAGATGCTGATAGTACCATCCCA